TCATCGGCAGCCTCTCTGTTTTGCAGCCAAAGTTGATACGGAGAGCGACCATTCTCCGTTCTCAGCCTGTGCAAGTTCCATGCTTCTTTAAAAGTGTTACGCTGATGTTGTAACTGGGGGAAAAATGTAAATATATATTTTTAATCAAATTACCCTATTGATTTATGATTTCCATCAATATGCCACATGCAGTTCGGAGCAGGAACTGAGTACTGTCTGCGATGAAGCGTCCGGTTAGCCAGGGCTCGGAGTTGAGTTCCCTCAGGGTCCACTCTTTGCACTTCTTGTAATGTTACATTATCTTAAAGTAAAGTTAAGTGAAATCACTTCTACTTGATGTGAAGTATATACGATATAAATACATTTCAAAAAGACTTATTGAGATCAATAAAAATAATGACTAATGGCGGACATATCCTCCATAACTTAATGGACTCTTTTCATAAGATTAAATCCTCCAAAGTTTTTTATATTTGCAATTTAAAAAAATGTATGAACATTTATTACACTATACTTTGTGTTATATTACCCTTGCATCAAATTACAAAAAAATAAATAAAACTAGTTACCGCTAATGCGAGGGTGTTTCTAATGTGTTTGATTGGGGTTGGAGCTGAAACTTTGAAGCAGGGCTGGTGATCCCTGGCATAGTGGCTATGCAGGTCTGCCATAGCTCCAACACATACGTATAATCAAGCCTGCAAGTATGTAACAAAAACTAAACTTACACTGAATCAAATGCCCACTTGCTTGGAGAAAAGCTCTCATCATACGGTATCCACACCGTGGGTGTTCCCTTTGAATTTCCAACACCAAACGATCCAGGTCTGTATCGTCAATGCCAGAGTACAACTCTGATACTCTGTGGAACAGGTGGATAATTGTGCGATAAGTGGCATTAGATGCATCAGATATTTGTGAGATGAACAGAATTATGATAAAGACCTAAACATGCCTTTGTGAAGTTTCTTATTTATTCAAGTCATATCTGAATGTCCTAGTTCAATTTCTATCAGATTATTCAAGTCAGCTGTATGCGTTTCTCTGATGCTTCAAAAGAAGAGGGCATTCATAATGTTAAGAGAGTCGGGACTTGTAGTCAGAAGGTCACCCATGATGACGGAGTTTGGAGGTAAACAGAAATTATGGCCTTCAGGCATTTAGCGTTATATGAAACCATAAAAAAATATATTTAAGTTGATGTTTACCTTAGTCCACACTGTTGCATTCGTCGATGTACCGTCCAGCGACTAACTCCATACAAGGCCGCAATGTCTTTAACTTTAAGACCATACATAAGATACCCTCTATGGCCTCGTCAGGGATCTCCACGGCCAGTCGTCCCACTCCCCTCACCCCCACCAAAAGCGAGCCGTTTTAGGTAGGTGTAGCTGACTCTTAACTTTTATAAAGAATATCTCTTTGGATTTGAGACTTTAGTCTTTGCAACTTTACAGATCTTCTTTATGCACCAAGAGCTTGTAACACTCCAAAGAGAAAGGAAACATTGAAATAGCATCATATGACCCCTTTAAACAACTTAAGCCTTGTCGAAATAATAACAAATAAACTATATTGCACATTAACATTTAGTCGTTTAGCAGAAGCTTTTATCCAAAGCGACTTACAGATGAGAACAATAGAAGCAATCAAAACTAACAAAAGAGCAACAATATGTAAGTGCAAATGACAAGTCTTGGTATATTGCACAATGACTAGTCTCTCTTTTATTATTTTAGGTAACTCAGAGTGATACTCCTGATGTTTACGTCTAACCACTTTCATCTGCAGAACAGTGTTTTTACATTGAAAACACAGGAGGAACAGATTTACCTGGAGCATTTTTTTTTGGTCTAGATATTAATTTGTCATTTACGTATTCGTCATGAATTAGAGGATTTTTTTTTATAATAACTCTGACTTTTAGATTGCCTGTGATGGATGTGACAGGTATGTACCACCAGCTTACCACCCTGTTGGCAACCCACCAGTCAATAAAGAATATTATTGCCCCTTGTCTATTATCTGAGTCAGTATATAACGGAAATTTTGTAAAAAGTTTTTGCTTGGTTTTCAAAATTGCACTTGTATTGATTTTTGTGTTTCTAAGATTGTATATATTAGTTTGTATGGTTTCAAAATTGCACTTCTGTTGTACTGTATTGTACTATTGTATTTTTAAAAAGCGATTCATTTATTTTTGATTGTGATTTCCCATTAACATTAAAAAGACCAGAACGTCTTGAAATTGTGTAGTTTTGTTTAAAAAAACATCTCCAGGACGCTGTGCTCCATGTGACTAGTAAGTCAAATCTCAAATAACTGCCCTGATGACTTGTGTTCTACCCGCTTAAATGATAGAAGTACTTGCGCTGTACAAACTATAAAGACTGTGTCTGTTCCCCGAATAGTAAGGTCAAATATAAATTTAATGCAGGATCTAGAAAAAATCTGATCGTGATTAAACCAGAACAATTTAAAATAAATGAACAAAAACCATTTTTAAAGTTTGGGCTCCTAAACATTAGATCACTCTCACCCAAAGCAGTTATTGTAAATGAAATGATCACAGATAATCGTTTTGATGTACTCTGCTTGACTGAAACCTGGCTAAAACATAATGATTATATTGGTCTAAATGAGTCTACACCACCAAGCTACTATTATAAGCATGAGCCCCGTCTCCATCTTTATTTGACCCTCTAACTCTAGCACTCTCTATTCTTTAAAATGTTTACAGATATTATACATAATGATTATTAATATTATTATTATACATAATTATACAATTAACAAAAGCAAAAAGACCTCTAACACTAGCTTGCTCTATTCTTTTTCTATTATATCTGTTTTGTTTTTATTTATTATATTATTTTAAAAACCCTTGCTACGTGTACTGCGTTAAGCTAACTGAGACTTGTTATAGCACTTGTATATCATTGCTCTTTTGTTGATTTTGATTGCTTCTATTGTCCTCATTTGTAAGTCGCTTTGGATAAAAGCATCTGCTAAATGACTAAATGTAAATGTAATGTAATGTAAATAAATATGCCCCGACACCAACAGCATATAAGGGAGAATTATTTAAATACTTAACTAGTAAACTACAAATTAAATAAGTTCACTAATAATGGTATAACAATTAAATATTTTTAGATTTAATTTAGTACCTGCATTTTTTAAGTTTTCTCTTTAACTGTAAAAGCTGCTAAATATATTCAGTCAACACAGACTTGTTACTGTTGTAGTTTTGCTACTCTGAATTTAGTCTGAATCACCTAATGCACAGCTCTATTTTGACAAACCCAGGAAGTAATCGTGCATATGGTCAACTGACAGAGCATTAGTGACTGCTTTGATATATATTGGATACAACATTTTTTCATAGTTTTTCCCAGTTTTCCCTTAATTTAACTGAATCTGTTGTTTTACATTACACACAAACTGAACTTTACATTTATTGCATGAAATTTTATATCTTCCTCCCCACTTCTTTCGAGTCTAGAACTGCTCCAGTGGACATTTGCATTGGAGGATGCAAGAGCTACATACTGTGTGTGTCATCAATCCATTATCAGTGCCTTGGACATTTTTGCACTAATGCTGTGTGCTGCACAAATCACCTCCCATGTTGTTTACAATGTTACTGCAGGTTGTGCAACATACAATGAACAATGTCTACATCAGGGTGAGTTTAAGCAAACTGCAAGTACTATTTGTTAGTAAAACAAATACAGTGGAAAAGTGCACCTTTAGTATAAAGAAAAAAGTATTCCCATATAGACATGAACAGTCACCCAATTGGATCCCATTAAAATCCTATAGGAATGATCCTACAGGATATTTATGTCTTGTCCTATGAGACTATTCCTATCAGAATCCTATAGGAACGGTTCCAAAATATGATAGAAATTCCAATATCCTGTACAACTTTCTTATTGGAATCCTTTAGGATTTTTTGACAAAGGGGGTTTCTAATGTAGACAAACTCATTCAATCTCAGTCATGTGTGGATTAAAATATTGTTTATTAGGCAAATAAAATCTTTATTGAGAAATTTAAAAGCCCAAAAAGCAATTATGATACAGGTATTTCATAGCTTTTAGATATTTTATTAAAATTTATATTTTATTTATATTAGATATTTACTTTATAAAATTAATTTTTCCAGATCAATCAGCAGACAATAAAAGTTGTTGATAAAATATAAAAAGTAAAGATAACAATGTATTAATAAAAAAGGTAACCTTTAATCAATAATTACATTTAATCAGCATTTAATCAACAAAAACAAAAACAAGCTAAGTAAAAGTGAAAACTAATGGATCTCTCTCTCCTACTGACTTACAAATAGGGATGGATATCTGTAAGGTTTTAATCTTCTTACAATCCTGCTTATTAAACATACTGAACATAATATGAAACAATTGAACATAATATGAAACCAATAAGAAAGCACAATGATAACATTTATATCATGAAGCAAAATTATATACAGGAATAAAACTTTGTGACATTGTTCTTTGGGGAGAAACTCCATCTTTGAGTTGAATCTAATAGTTTTGGATATTCACTGTGAAAACTTTAGATAATGTTTTTTTTATCTAAATGTATCTATCTATTTAATGTCTTTATCATATTGCTTGTGTAACTTTAGCCTCCTTGTTAGTGAGTCCGCCTCCCATGCCGGAGACCCGGGTTCGAGACCCGGTACATTGGTGCCGTGACCCGGATGGGAGTGAGGTTTAGGGGGAGGGTGTAACGGCGGCCGCGAGTAGGTGCTGTGCAGGTAAACCTCACTCCCCTGATCTCAAGAGAAGTGCTAGTGGCTGCAATCTTTAGCCTCCTTGTTAGTGCGTCCGCCTCCCATGCCGGAGACCCGGTACATTGGTGCCGTGACCCGGATGGGAGTGAAGATTAGGGGGAGGGTGTAACGGAGGCCAGCGAGTAGGTGCTGTGCAGGTAAACCTCACTCCCCTGATCTCAAGAGACATGCTAGTGGCTGCAATCTTTAGCCTCCTTGTTAGTGCATCTGCCTCCCATGCTGGAGATCTGGGTTCGAAACCCACTTGGAAACAAGAACGAGGTGTGTCGGTGAGGACCCGGGAGAGAGGGATTACACTTGTACAGACAGATTTATCCAGCTGATATTTCACTGCTTGATGCATTATTGTGTCACATTTGGTGATGATGCGAATCAGACCTGAAAATGCTGGATCTGAAGATGATCTACTTACTGTGAATGTTTTTTGTATGACTGTGTAGAGAAGATGAATGACTGAAACACTTCCGACATGCAGTGCAATGATACGGTTTCTCTCCAGTGTGGATCATCTCATGTTTTTTCAGATTTCCTGAATTACTGAATCTCTTCCCACACTGATCACATGTGTACGGTTTCTCTCCAGTGTGGATCCTCTCGTGTGTTTTCAGATTTGCTGAATCACTGAATCTCTTTTCACAGTGTGAACACTTGTATGGTTTTTCTCCAGTGTGAATCCTCTCATGCACTTTTAAACAGTTTGCTGTAGTAAAAGTCTTCTCACACTCAAAGCACATGTACTCTCTCACACCAGTATGAATTTTCTGATGTTCTTTCAAACTTTGTAGACGTGAAAAACTCTTTCCACACAAATG